CGGGTGCAGGGCAGGCCCACGCGCGGCCTGCAGGGCAAGGCGACGGGCAGGCGCTCGAGGGCGCGGGTAGGGCAGGCGCTCGAGGGCACGGGTAGGCAGGTGCAAGGCGCGTGACGGGGCAGGCAGGCACGGCAGTGCGCTTTGGGCAGGGCAGAAAAAAAGTTCGTGGTGGTGGGCCCTAAAAAAAACGTTCCCACTAGGGAACCTGCTCTGAAACCATGTTAAAGTTAGAACGAAGAATGATGAGTAGAAAGGGAACAGTACAAGGTTTGTATAGGCAAAACCAATCGGGGCTGTGCCCCACTACAGCATATTGTATAGTTCTGACAGCAGATGCATTCGCTTGCCATGAAGGCATTTTTCCTACGTCCCCGCCTTCTCTCGTTCCTTCTCTGAAATTTCTCGTTCCCGTTCTTCCTTCCACTTTTCCTCTGTCCCCGTTTTCCCGCGTCCCTGTTTCCCAATCCCCCTCACTCCTAGTTGCGTTCGCAGAGAGCACTGGCGTGGCGCCGTCGATCACGTGTAGCTAGCGCGCCCACGTGCTTGCTTGCTACCGTGCTCCTTGCACGCGCTCGCTCGCTACGGTGGCTTCAGCAGTGGCAGTCGCTAGTGGCGGCGGACGAGCTGGAACGTTGCGGACCGTTTGGGTAGCGCCGGGCGCACCTGGGTTCGATTGGCGCTGGTTCAATTCGAGGTGAGATGGGGGCTAGCGCGAAGGCATGAGAAGGGGGGAAGGGGAGGAAAGGGGGGGAGGGAGGGAAGAGAGGGGAGGGGAAGAAAAGGGAGGGGATGTTCCACATTACACGTCGAAATGCGTTACACCCTCTGTCAGAATGAGAAGTGGTTGGACTAGAAAGAATGAGAGTACAAGTAGGAAAACCTAGAATATTGTACCCCTTAAGGCTAAACCCACTATAGCCTACAGAACAGTAACATATATAATGTTTGACACACCCCCATAGGCTAAGTGGGGGAGAGCAAGGGGTCACAAGACCAGTCAAGAAAGACAACGCAAGCTCAGGGTGGATCACAAAGTCACCACACACACTGAGCACAAGCAAAGGGCCACAAGGCCAGTTCACATGCAGAGGCATATATGCAACACAAACATCATAGTGATCTCTACCTAGCAATGCAAGCATGCAGGTATATATATGTATAGATCACAGTACAGGCAAAGTCTACAACAAGTGAGGAAAAGTGGGCACAAGCCCTAGCAAAGTGCAAAAACGCTGATGATCACCAGACTGAAGTGCCTTGGTGAATATATCAGCTGTGTTGGCCTGAGTGGCCACGTAACGCAGACAAAGCTGACCACGCTGCTGCAACTCTCGAGCCATGAAGTAACGTAGAGCGATGTGCTTCGTTCTGTGCTCCAGTCTGTGCTCCTCACACAAGGCAATGGCAGCCTTGTTGTCGACGTACAGCACTGGAGGAGAACGAGGCAGCTCTCCCAGGTCGGTCAGCAGGTAGGTGAGCCAGCGTAACTCCTATGCAGCCATGGCTGTGGCGTAGATCTCAGCCTCACAACTGGAGCTGAGAACAGAAGACGAACGCGTAGAACGCCACGAAACTGAGCCAGAGCCAAGGCTGAAGGTGTAACCCTGTGACGACCGCTGAGTAGCCTGGTCGTCAACCCAAGAAGCGTCTGAGTGCCCAGTGAGAACAACTGAGCTCCTCTCTCCAAGCACGAGCCCCATGCCCGATGTACAGCACAAGTAGCGCAGTACCCTCTTGGCAGCATCCCAGTGCACCTTTCGGTGCCTACCAGGAGCCACGTAGCGAGCCAGAAGGCCAAGAGGGTACGCTAGGTCAGGACGAGTGTAAGTCATCAGGTACATGAGGCAGCCAACTAGCTCTGGGTAAGGACCACTCGGCTCTACGGACTCGTCCGAAGGTGGAGCTGAGAGCGAGTGACCTGTAGCCAGAGGAGTGGCCTGTGCCGAGGACCAGGTGAAGCCGAAGCGCTGAAGGACCTGCTGCACCATGTGTGATTGAGTCAGGGTAATGGTGCGCTGTGCTCTGTCCCGGGTGATCTGCAAGCCAAGGTAGCTGCGCAGTTCACCCAGGTCTGTGCACGTGTGTCTCTTCTGCAGCTCCGACTTCACGTGGGCGAGTCCAGCAGTGTCAGCAGTGGCAAAGACCAAGTCGTCGACATACACGAGGATGTAGAACAGCGGCAAAGAGGTGTCAATGCGTAGAAACAGCGACGGGTCGGCAGTAGAAGGAGCAAACCCAAGAGCCGCAAGTGTAGTCCTCAGTGTGTCGTGCCACTCACGGGGCGCCTGGCGGAGACCGTAGACTGGCCGCCAGAGGCTCCACTGGGTACCAGGAGGAAACGACCCAGTGAAGCCAGGTGGGCGGCGCAGCCAGATCTCCTCGTGCAGGCTGCCCTGCAAGAAAGCTGTGCTGAAGTCAAGAGAGTGAAGCTCGTAGTCACGCTGAGCGGCAACGTGCAGTAGCACCCGAAGAGTGGTCATCTTCGGGGTGGGGAAGAAGG